TACTCAAGAGTGTGTTACCGGTCAGACATAGTGTAATTTGTAAACAAAAAATTTGTAAATATAACCTTTGCTATATATATATCTATATATCTATATATCTATATATATATATATATATATATATAGTGTTTTATAAGAGTTATGTTGTAGGAAAAGTGATAGTGTAATGTTATAAAGATTCGTTTTGTGTGCCGTAGTTTTTCTTTTTTCTTCAAAAAGTGTGGGCCCCACAAAATATTGTGTGTTGTAGGAAAGTTTGTTGTGTCATGTTAAATGACAAATGCAAACCTCATATATATATATATATATATATATATATATATATATATATGTAGGATTCTTTGACACCTTATCTGAGAGCCGTTGGATAAAAAAAAAATCAACGACTCTGATTTGTAAGCATGTGACATCATTGATCTTTTTTATCTAACGGCTATCAGATGAGGTGTCAAAGGATCCTATCTCATATATATATATATATATATATATATATATATATATATATATATATATATATATATATATATATATATATATATAACTTTATTTAAAATATAGTATATATAATTATTAAGATAATATAACATGATTCAACAACTGAATTTATTGAGTTTGCATTCTACAAAAACGACTTAGGTTGTGTTTGATACATATTAAGCGACACTACAAACACAATATTAGAGTCCAAGTAATGGAGTCATGTAATATTTTTTTGTGTAATTAGATGTTTGATAACCAATGTGGGGCCCACAAATTTTTTTATCATATTCATAGATAAAATTAAATAAATTAAATTGTAAAATTTGTGTTAGTTACTGTTTTGCGTATAATAAAATTAAGAGTAAATATCATTTTTGGTCCTCAGAAAATTTCACGAGGCCCGTTTTAGTCCCTAGCAAATAAAAAGGCCCATCGTGGTCCCTCAAAAATTCGATAAGGACCCATTTAGTTGAAATCGTGGTCCCTCACAAATTCAAAAAAAGCCATATTAGTCCTCAAAAGGACTAAAATGGGTCCAATTTAAATTTTTTAGGGACCACGATGAGCCTTTTTATTTTCTAGGGACTAAAACGGGCCTCGTGAGATTTTCTGAGGACCAAAAAGGGTATTTACTCTAAAATTAAAATAATCAAAGGGAAAGGGTTATTGGTCTTCTTTCCTTTTGTGGTAGAGAGAAGACTATGTAACTTGATTTTGTAGATAAACAAATACAGAAATTAATAGTTATTTGAGTTACTTCATGTGCAATACTTATGTTATTTGAACAATTTTATTTGTGTTTTGATGTATCTTATCTTAAACAGATTAAACGCTGCTTGCTCTAAGACAACGACAATTTAAACCCATCTTATTTAAACCCATCTTTGCCAAGTTGGTAAATATACAAATTGTCTTATATTCCATGTATTTGGACAATCATGGATTTTATTTCATGAATAGTGCTCAGGACTATTTTATTACATGAATAGAGCTCTGAATTTTATGTGGGAGATGTGCCTTGTTTATGGAAATTATAGCCAATTGACATGGTTATATGCGAATGTATGTTGTCTTTAAGCATCCAAATGAAATACTACGCTGAATGGGTTGTCTTGGCTGTAATGTTTGCTGCGAATGAATATAGAGCTATTTTTTTTTATATAAAGGAAGCCTCTCAATTATATATACTTGCAGTATGGTGAAGTTACATAGCCAAATTCCATGTGTTTACATGTGTACATGCTGTCCTTATATGTTTCATGTGCAAGACAATGTGAATGAACTATGGGCAGTAATGAAAGTTATGAAATGAAGCACCTATGATGCTAGAATCCCTAGCCAGGTGAACGGATAAGCTGGGCACCTATTAGGAGACGTCCTACAGTGAGCAAAGCTTATGAAGGTGCATACGGGTAAGTTGTTTGTTAGAATGTGAATGGTTAAGCAAGGGACCTCTTAGGAAAAAAAATCCTACATTGAGCTAATTAAGCTCATGGAGGTACCTATGGATTAGTATGTTGGTTGAATGTGATTGATGAATTGCGTGATTTTGTACTCCTTCTTGGCATCTTTAATAACAGAAATATGCCAACTCTTGATCTGACTTTACTAATCAGGGGAAGGAAACTTTATGAGGGAAAAACCTCAAGAATTGCTTGGTTTATTGAGATGTATTTTCACCCCACCTTGGGGCTATTTTTGCAGGAATGAATGAAGAATGGAATTTGGCTACTGAGGGCCTTAATTGAAGAGAATGTAACAGATGTTATTTTATTCTAGATGCATATAATTAGGTTGTTTAGCTATTGGATGTCATATTACTGATGCGTAGAATGACTTGTAATGAACTCTTGTCTAAGTAATTTACATGACAACTTTATTTTGTTTGTAATATTTTGTAAGGCATGTATGTAAATGATGGCTAAGCATTAGCCTTTGGTAATTAAGTATTATGTGTGTGGATTTCAGGTGTTAGTTGAAGATAACCTCATGATGTGATAGTTAATTCAAAAAGGACTTATGAATATATGGGCGTGCGGTTGGTATCCATAAATGTTGTATTCAAAGTATAGGTGATACTAGTATCCTGTGGCAAACTCTTTACTGCTTTGTGCGCTGACCCGGGGCGGGGGATAAGTCCTGTGGCTACCGGCTGTGAGGATACCCTGAAGCAAATCAAAAAAAAAAAAAGTATAGGTGATACTCCTTGAGGACCTAAAGAGAATGACTCAATCCAAGGCCCTACTAGGAACATTGGTGTCCTTACTTTCCTGAAGAAACCTTGAATAATAACATGTGAATTGAACAACCCAGCTTATCTATACTTGACAGCATAAGATCCATAAAAAAATTCAGGACCTTTATGGATAGAAGCCAGATCCAATTAACCTTAATTGAGAGCAATAAAGATTGTAAATCTCCCTAAGTACATTACCTACTTCAGAACCAAAATGAATATCTATCCTAGGATTTGCGACATGTAAGAAAACTAAGTGGTTGTTGTAAATTTTATAATTATATTATTGGTTGCTTGAGTTACTGATTATATGAGGATTGATGGTGCTCAGGTGCGTTTTTCTTTTTGTGCTCTAAACCTTCCGTTGTCTTAGAGGACTGTTGCTTTTTGTTATTCTGTCATAGTCCCCAACTTTCCGTTTCCGCTTAAATTGTCGTTGTTACCATATGATAAGGGGTACCGAAAGGGTCGACAAGAGGTGGCAATTTGTGTCAACAGTTTGTGTTTGTGTCGGGTCGAGGTTTGATAAAAATATAATCACACTCAACACAAATAAAGATTCATGTCAAAACCTTTAACATAAACATAACTTGTTTTTTTACATGTTAACACAGACTTGCTTTTCTGTGTCACGTGGGTTATCATAATACGACACAAATAAAATACATATCAAATATTACCTTTGTTAATATTGTGTTAACACGATACAACACGAATAATTTAAAAAAAAACTAACACAGGTCACTATCGTGTTAGCATGTTGGAAAATATCTTCGATACTAGTTTTATAATCACGAAAATTCAGTACCTTATTTCCTAAAATTGAAAAAATAAAATAAAATATATCTAACTTTGTCTATTCTACCCACAATTTTATGGTCAATGACATCTGAGTCTCATTTTTTTCTATTTTTAATAAAGGAGTGGATATTTCCACCAAAAAAAATAAAATAAAAGAGTAGATACTCTCGTAATACCAAAAATATGCTCAAGTGTTTAACATTATATAAATTTTTTCATTTTAAATTTTGCCAACACAAACACATGAATTTAAAAAACGACTGAAACGATTTCATGTAGTGTTCCCATCGCTGCATCATAATGTTAGATGTTAAGAATTGTCACCCCCTAATAATTATGCCTTGGACCATGCCCTTATGGTACTCATCTTCCGAACATTGTTTCAATGCGCAAGTAACTATCCCATGTGGCTTCAAGCAATAACCAATAACAGGTAATCCCCTCTCTACACTTGTGCTGTACACCGAAAATGAAGATAGAAACTTAACTCCCGAACACACTGGAAGGGGAAGCCATATCAACTAATTTCCATTTCTTGAAACGCAAAAAGCATAATGATGATGGTTACGGTTGCCCCTAGTGATGTGTACGGGTCGAACCGAACTGATTTTTTTAAAAAATCGAACTGAATTGATTTAAATAATTCGGTTCAGAAATAGTTCGGTTCGGTTCGGTGGGAAACGGTTCGGTTCGGAACAGGTTCAGGTCGACCCTCTTTTGAAAAGAAAAAATTTAAAATTTAAAAAATAAAATTATAAAAATCAATTTGGTTCGGTTTGAAAACGGTTCAGTTCAGAAACGGATCAGTTCCGAAAGGTTCGGTGCTTAAACTGATTTTAAAAACTGATTCGATTCTTAAACTAGTTCTAAAAACCGGTTCGGCTCATAAACTAGTTCTTTAAAAACCGGTTTGGTTCATGAACTGGTTCTTTAAAAACCGGTTTGGTTCATGAATTGATTTTTAAAAACCGATTATTTTAAAAGACAGATGGTTATTTTAAAAGACAGTTCGGTTCGGTTCATATGGTTCGATTCAATTTTTTGATTACTTTCTAGTTGCCCACAAAATGAATTTCCTTCGTTCAGACAATCCCTTACGCCATCCATTCAAAAACTTTTTTGCCACCCCATGGCCCCTCCTCACCTCACCTCTGTCCCTATCTTTTGGCTAATCCCATCGCCATCATCATATTCATCTGTGCAATCATCCTCTCCATCACCCTTTTCTTTCATTAATTTCTTTGTGTCCTATATCCAACAACCAATCCTATGGCCCCCCCTTCCGCCCCATCTTGACCAAAAGGATCAAACACGAGTTAAAACAGTTTTCCTGCTTCAAAATGGTGAAGTTCTCTTGCTCACGACTGATTTCAAATAACAAAACCTGTCCTCATAAAAATACTATCTTTCTCTTTGAAACATGTATCTAAAACAACATGAATTCGAAAAGCTTCGAAAGGTTTATATTATATTTACACTCACAATACACAAATTTATCAAACACAGCTCGCTAGGGAAGCAGAGTATGAAATCAGAAAACTGAAAAGGGAAACAAATTAAAAACAAATGGCAGAGTGAGATTGAAGCCAGATAAAGGCAAGGTAAGGACCCTTGATTATTGTGCTTTATCCTTGACAAGATTCGAACTTTCAGGCTTTTTTTCTACCATAGAGATCTGGGTCTCTTCGAATTCGAATCAGGACTAATCTGTGGAACAGTGAAATTATCATCCCTCAATCTTGATCTGCTTCCTTTGATGTTTGTAGACTCCTTTGTCTCATTGTGCCCAATTCTCCAATCCATTTGTGAAGAATATAGAGGAGGTGGTGCTTGAGGAACCCAGATCCCCATGTTCTCAGGTGAGAAAGAACCCAGATCCCTCTCAATATCAGCATCAAGCAGTGGAAACATGTCATCACCCTGTGCAGTTCATCAGCACGTTACAAATCTCAGATCCAAATATAAAAAAATAAAATAAAAAAGAAACTATAGGGATAAAGAAACTCATTGCAAACCTTAGAAAAACCAAAGGGAACAGAATATGAATCGAGAAAGTCTTCGATCTGCCAACCAGGGAGAGTCTCTATCAAGTACTGGGATATGCTACTAGCACTCGTGGAAACAGTTCCTTCAATAGCTACCAAGCTTCCCCCAATGGAGGGAGAAGGAGGTAGTAGTGTTGTTGATGATCCTGAAGGAGCGTTCTTGGCGATCGAAGGTGGATGTAAAACGCTAGAAGAAGATGAAGAAGCAAGAAGAGTAGTAGACTGTGACTTGAAATCAGAACCATTGATCAAAACGGAATTAGAGGGTGTTGATGAATAAAGCTTAGAAGAAGCAGAAAGCTTAACACCAGTGAGAAGGAACCTATCATGTTTCTGAGTGTGTTCGTTGGCTGAATGAATAGACAAGTCACAATCTTTGCACAAAATCGCTCTGTCTTGCTGACAGAACATGAAAGCTCTTTTCTCCTACAATAAAAAGTAAAATCCCAAGAAACTGTAGTTCCTTTTCTAATATACAGCGAGAGAGAAAGAAAAAAAAAAGTGACCCTTTTTTTTTTGTGCGTGTGTGAAAAATAAGAAGAGGGTTTGTTGGTTGGTTTACCTGGCAAACATCACAGAGAGGGTATTGTTTTGAAGAAGGACGGTGAAGAGAGAAGCGTTGATGCTTGGAGGCGAGCTTGTTTGCGTGGTGGACACGGTGGTCGCAGCCGTCACATAGTACGGCTTCATCGGCGGTGCAGAACACCGAAGCGTCGTCTTTGTTGCACACGTCGCACTGGATCTTCATTAGCTCTGACCAATGTTTGTTTGGTTCTGAGCTCTGAACTGAAGCTTTCGGGTTTGAGAGGAAAGAGAATAAAGGAACAGTTGAGGTTGGCCGAAACTCGAAAAGATAGAAATGATGTAGAATTGCAGTTAGATAAATGGTCAAGTGGTAAAGGAGGCACTATAATAAGCGAGCCATTCACTCTTGAACTGAAGTTAGATCTCTTACTCTTTGTTTTTTAATTAGATCTTTCTAGCTTTGTACTATTACATTTTTTTATATATATATAATGGATTTTATTAATCTCGTATAAAAAAAAAAGATAATTATCTCATGTCATAGAGATAAATTAGTAGGCTTCACCACCTGAAAAAAGAAAAGAAAAAAAAAATGGTACTGTTATCGAAAGGTGTGTAGAAGAGAAAACTTATATAACGTGACATAAGAATAATTTTTCCCATTTATAACTATCTCAAAGTGTAGTGAGTCTCGATATCCCCGTAAATTTCAACTATAAATTGACCACGAGACTAATTTCTGTATTTGTTTTTAAGAGTTTTTTTTTGTTAGTCGGAATCTTTACCCTGAAACAAAAAAATTTCTGATATCAATTGATTGATAGAGTATTAACAAAAGAATTTCTATTAATAAGAAGAATAAAGAAGATTGGCGGGAATCTTTACCTATTCAGTTTGTTTGTGTTGCCAACTTACATACACCTATTTGGGTGATTACTATTAAATTTTAAGTGACTATGTCATCTTCCTTGTAATACTAAAAAGTTAATAAGTTAAAATATACTTTTTATCCTTTGCACGTGTCACTTATTTTTAATTTATTTTTTACACTTAAGTTTTTTATTTAATTATTATATTCTGTATTATTTTTAATTTTTTCTTCACAATATTATAGATATATCAAATCCAAAATAAATGTCATGTATATAAATTAGATAATTATTAAAATTTAGTTTTATATTTAATGATAAGTTTATGCTGATTGCATTGTCTTATATGTTGGGAATGGTAGGGGAGCCCAAAACCCATTGCAAGGGATACATCCATGGGCCAAGCGATAAACCACAATAAGTGGGCCGACACCACATTTTAACCCAAAACCTTAAGGCTGTAGGTTTATGGGTCTTTTTGCACTTATATAGTCATCACTTGGTCTAGGTCTAGCCAATGTGGTACTTCATTACAACTCATACTTGAATACTTCCAACATCTTCCCCTCAAGTATGAGACCCAACATCATGCTCCCCCTTAAGGGCAACTTCTGCGGAAGTCTTTGTTCTTTAAGTATTGGAGTCACACTAGCCTTCTGCAGAGGCCTTGAAACATCACCATCTCTAAATACCCAGCCCAGCCAAACCTTTGGCTCTGATACCACTGTTGGGAATGGTAGGGGAGCCCAAAACCCATTGCAAGGGATACATCCATGGGCCAAGCGATAAACCACAATAAGTGGGCCGACACCACATTTTAACCCAAAACCTTAAGGCTGTAGGTTTATGGGTCTTTTTGCACTTATATAGTCATCACTTGGTCTAGGTCTAGCCAATGTGGTACTTCATTACAACTCATACTTGAATACTTCCAACATCTTCCCCTCAAGTATGAGACCCAACATCATGCTCCCCCTTAAGGGCAACTTCTGCGGAAGTCTTTGTTCTTTAAGTATTGGAGTCACACTAGCCTTCTGCAGAGGCCTTGAAACATCACCATCTCTAAATACCCAGCCCAGCCAAACCTTTGGCTCTGATACCACTGTTGGGAATGGTAGGGGAGCCCAAAACCCATTGCAAGGGATACATCCATGGGCCAAGCGATAAACCACAATAAGTGGGCCGACACCACATTTTAACCCAAAACCTTAAGGCTGTAGGTTTATGGGTCTTTTTGCACTTATATAGTCATCACTTGGTCTAGGTCTAGCCAATGTGGTACTTCATTACAACTCATACTTGAATACTTCCAACATCTTCCCCTCAAGTATGAGACCCAACATCATGCTCCCCCTTAAGGGCAACTTCTGCGGAAGTCTTTGTTCTTTAAGTATTGGAGTCACACTAGCCTTCTGCAGAGGCCTTGAAACATCACCATCTCTAAATACCCAGCCCAGCCAAACCTTTGGCTCTGATACCACTGTTGGGAATGGTAGGGGAGCCCAAAACCCATTGCAAGGGATACATCCATGGGCCAAGCGATAAACCACAATAAGTGGGCCGACACCACATTTTAACCCAAAACCTTAAGGCTGTAGGTTTATGGGTCTTTTTGCACTTATATAGTCATCACTTGGTCTAGGTCTAGCCAATGTGGTACTTCATTACAACTCATACTTGAATACTTCCAACAGGACCTTCCTCTGCCTCTGTCTCTACCTCTGCCTCTACCCCTTCCTTGAAAATTGTTGGAACGAGTATCGGTAGAAGCCTTTAATGCTTGCTCATATGTGTCTTCCTGTTTGAACTTCTGTTCATGCACCACCAATGAGCTCTGCAATTCATCAAGTGACAAATCATCTATATCTTTAGATTCTTCTATAGCACAAACAACGAAGTTAAATTTTGTTGTTAATGATCGAAGAATTTTTTCTATGACAGTTATTTCTTCTGTCCTGCCTCCATGAATTCGCATTTTATTGACAATGGTCATCACGCGAGAGAAATAATCTGCAATTGATTCTCCCGACTTCATTCGAAGTGTTTCGAATTCCGAGCGTAAAGCTTGAAGCTGCTGCCTCTTTGCTCTTGCAGAGCCTTGATACTTCTTTTTCATGGAGTCCCAAATATTCTTGGAAGTTTCTTTGGAAAGAATGGTTTCCAAGATAGAACGGTCAATGGCCTGGAAGAGATAATTCTTCGCCTTCAAATCCTTCAACTTTTCTGCTTCATGAGCTGCTCGTTGTGCTGCTGTCAACTGAGCTCCTTCTGCTAGTGCTGGTTCAACAACACCATTGGTAACTACATCCCAATATTCCTTGGATCGAAGGAAATTCTCCATCAACATGCTCCAATGATCATAATGACCATCGAAACGTGGAATGGCTGCTTGCACAAAATTAGAATCTGTGGCCATGACTCTTCACTTTTTTTTTTCTTTTTTCTTTTTTCTTTTTTTTTTTTTTTTTTTGCAAAAATTGGTATTTATTGATAGAGAAAGCTTCTGACTTTTCCTGTAAAAAACTAAACCCACGTTTTTCTAGAAAAATCATCAATAAAGGTAATTAAATATTTTTTACCTCCATTAGAAATTGGATTTATTGGACCACAAATGTCTGAATGCACCAATTGCAAAATTTCCTTTGCTCTCCATGAGTTCCCTTTTGCAAATTCAGAACGATGTTGTTTGCTAACAACACATTCTTCACATACTGAGGAATGAGGAATTGTGATTTGAGGGAGGCCTGTCACCATATTTTTCCTTTGGAGCGTCTTCAACCCACCAAAGCTCAAATGGCCATAGCGAAAATGCCACAACCATGAAGGATCTTTCATTTCAGCCATTAAACTAGATTGGATTCCTTCAATCTTTAATGGAAACAATCTGTTTGAACTCATCTGAATAACAGCAATAGCACCTCTCACAGAATCATATATTTCACAAACACCATTTTTAATAGTGATCACATAACCCTTTTCTTGTAATTGGCCAGCACTCAATAAATTGCTTTTCAAATCAGGAACATACAATACATTAGATATTGTTTCCACAAAACCATTCTTGGTTTTTATTTTAATGTCACCTTTTCCCATTACTTTCACAGTAGAATGATCACCAAAACTCACAGTAGATTGAAAATTTTCATTCAGATGAGAGAAAGAAGACTTACTACCACTCATGTGGTTGCTACAACCAGTATCCACATACCAAACATCTGGCTCAATTTGCTTTTCATCTTTAGCAACCATCAATAAGGTTTCACCTTCCTCCTTTTCTGCAAAGTTTGAACTTTCTCCTTTTTCTTTGCTATTTGGCAGCTTAGTATAACATTCAGATTGATAATGACCAAATTTATGACACCTGAAACATTCTACCTTGGATTTATCAGGGGCTCCTCCTCTGCCTCTGCCTTGAAATTGATCATTATTGGCTCTGAAATTAGTGGACCTGTTGGGAAATTCGTTCCCTCAAACTCCAATGTCAAGCGGGTCCAGGGGAAGCCCGTGGCGGAGAACCACCACCAATGAGCTAAGGCTACACCAACAGTAGCAAGTGGATCCGACACCATGTTTCAACCCAAAACCTTAAGGCATTGGGTTCATGGGTCCTTTCACTTATATACTCTTCACTTAGCTTATTACCAACCAATGTGGGACTCATCACACTTGAATATCTCAACAATCTCCCCCTCAAGTGTGAAACCCACCATTGGTATGCTTCCCCTCAACCGAGTACCTGAAGCGCAAAGTACTCGACCCGCCTCCTAGCCAATCACTAGGCCAGCTCAAGCCCAATCCGGCTCTGATACCACTGTTAGAGAAAAATTAAGATGCAGAAATATAACTCACAATGTTTGAAGAGGGAATACAAATTTCATAAACTGACTCAAACTTAATATAAACCAGAAACTAAAACTGAAAAAACATAACATTAAGAGACACATTACACCCAAATAAACTCTAACTTAATGACTCATTATACTACCCAAAACTGACTCATTATGATACCGTTAAGACTCATCAAACAACTTTAGTGCAGCACATGGCCGTTACATCAAACTTAAAAGACCATTGAATTTTCTAACGGACAAAAAACAAAGAGACTCTAACATTTGTTTGAACCAAGATAGAACGGTCAATGGCCTGGAAGAGATAATTCTTCGCCTTCAAATCCTTCAACTTTACTGCTTCATGAGCTGCTCGTTGTGCTGCTGTCAACTGAGCTCCTTCTGCTAGTGCTGGTTCAACAACACCATTGGTAACTACATCCCAATATTCCTTGGATCGAAGGAAATTCTCCATCAACATGCTCCAATGATCATAATGACCATCGAAACGTGGAATGGCTGCTTGCACAAAATTAGAATCTGTGGCCATGACTCTTCACTTTGGTGCATTCAGACATTTGTGGTCCAATAAATCCAATTTCTAATGGAGGTAAAAAATATTTAATTACCTTTATTGATGATTTTTCTAGAAAAACGTGGGTTTATTTTTTACAGGAAAAGTCAGAAGCTTTCTCTACATTTAAAAATTTCAAAGCTCGTGTGGAGAATGAGACAGGAAGGATGATTCAGACACTTCGCACAGATCGTGGTGGTGAATATTGCTCAAAAGAATTTGAAGTTTTTTGTGAAGAACATGGCATCCGAAAAGAGCTTACAACTGCGTATACACCACAACAAAATGGTGTATCAGAGAGGAAGAATAGAACCATCCTCAACATGGTTAGAAGCTTGTTGGTAAGAGGAAGAGTTCCAAAGACGTTTTGGCCAGAAGCAGTAAACTGGTGTATTCATGTCTTGAACAGAACTCCAACCTTTGTAGTTCGAAATATGACGCCAGAAGAGGCTTGGAGTGGGAGAAAACCAAATGTGGATCACTTTAGAATTTTTGGATGCATTGCATATGCTCTTGTCCCGGAATAGAAAAGAAAAAAACTTGATGACAAGGCTGAAAAATGTGTCTTTCTAGGTGTAAGTGATACATCTAAAGCATATAAATTATTTAATCCACTGACGAAAAAAATTGTGGTTAGCAGGGATGTTGTTTTTGATGAAGAAAACACTTGGGATTGGAATATGCAGCAGCCTACAGAAGTTCTTTGTGATATTGATTCTGAATAAGAGCAAATTTCAGCATCTAGTATGCCTGAAAATTCGTCCATTGCAACTTCTTCAGCTAGTCAATCCTCACCAACAGTAGTTGGAGTTAACGAAGAAGAAACTCAATCTCTTCGTCGTGTTAGAAGAAGGCCTACTTGGATGGAAGATTATGAGGTAACTGGAATTGAAGATCCAATTACTCACTTTGCTTTGTTTTCAGAATGTGATCCCGTGACTTTTGAGAGTGCTGTCAAAGAAGAAAAATGGCGAAAAGCAATGGATGCTGAAATTGATGCAATTGAGAGGAATGATACTTGGGAGTTAACTGATCTTCCAAATGGACACAAAATCATTGGTGTGAAGTGGGTGTTTAAAACAAAGTTAAAGGAAAATGGTGAAATTGACAAGCACAAAGCACGCTTGGTTGTCAAGGGGTACAAGCAACAATATGGGATTGATTATAAAGAAGTTTTTTCTCCTGTTGCGAGACATGATACAATCAGGTTGGTGGTTGCATTGGCTGCACAAAATTCTTGGCCTATTTACCAGCTAGATGTCAAATCAGCATTCTTGCATGGGTACTTAGAGGAACAAATATTTATTGAACAACCCCCTGGTTATGAGAAAGTTGGAAATGAGCATAAAGTTTACAAATTGAAAAAGGCACTTTATGGACTAAAACAAGCCCCTCGAGCTTGGTATAGTCGCATTGAGTCTTATTTTCTTAAGGCTGGTTTTATAAAGTGTCCTTATGAACATACACTCTTTGTTAAGATTGGTGATGAAGGAAAAATGCTTATTGTTTGCTTATATGTAGATGATCTTATATTCACTAGAAATTGTGATGTTATGTTTGAAGAATTTAAAAAGTCTATGATGAATGAGTTTGAAATGACTGATCTTGGTATGATGCATTACTTTATTGGCATAAGTGTAGCACAATCAAGTGATGGAATTTTTATTTCTCAAAATAAATATGTGGAAGATATTCTAGACAGGTTTCAGATGAAAGATTGTAATCCTGTGCACACTCCAGTTGAATGTGGCTTGAAGTTACATAAAGATCATGGAGGAAAGAAGGTTGACAGCACCTTCTACAAACAAATTGTGGGAAGTTTGATGTATCTCACTACAACAAGACCAGACATAATGTATTCTGTGAGTTTAATTAGCAGGTATATGGAAAATCCTACAGAAATACATTTGTTGGCTGCCAAGAGAATCCTTCGCTACTTGCAAGGAACAAGAACTTTCGGGATATTTTACAAGAAGGGTGTAAAATCTGATTTAGTGGGATTTACTGACAGTGATTATGCAGGAGATCAAGATGACAGGAAGAGCACATCAGGTTATGTTTTTATGATTGGTACAGGTGCTATTTCTTGGGCATCGAAGAAGCAACCAATTGTCACTTTGTCAAGCACAGAAGCTGAATTTGTTGCTGCTACAGCTTGTGCATGCCAAGCCATTTGGCTAAGGAGAATTCTTGAAGAACTTCACTTCAAGCAAGAAGGAGCAACTTTAATTTATTGTGACAATAATTCTGCAATTAAATTGTCAAAGAATCCAATTTTACATGGGAGAAGCAAGCATATAGATGTGAAGTATCATTTCTTAAGGGATCTTACAAAGGCTCGTATAATTAATCTTATTTTTTGTAGAAGTGAGGATCAAGTTGCTGATTTGTTTACAAAACCTCTCAAATATGTTGCGTTTCAAAAGCTCAGGGGATTACTTGGCATGTGTTCCATGGAGAAAGTCAAAGGATTTGGAGTAAACTGAATTTTTCAAGAACATCACTTTAAGGGAGGGAATGTTAGAGTCTTTTTGTTTTTTGTCCGTTAGAAAATTCAATGGTCTTTTAAGTTTGATGTAACGGCCATGTGCTGCACTAAAGTTGTTTGATGAGTCTTAACGGTATCATAATGAGTCAGTTTTGGGTAGTATAATGAGTCATTAAGTTAGAGTTTATTTGGGTGTAATGTGTCTCTTAATGTTATGTTTTTTCAGT